TTATTTCTACATTTGATTGATTGATCTAGATGTCTATGAATGTTAAGTTTATGTGTGTTATTGATTAGGAAAGAGGATTCTACCAGTGAATAGATGGACCCTACCGATCAAGATGTACATAATGGATGGAGTGCTGCAGTAGCTCCAATGAGTTCAACACACGATGCATCTAGCTAGCATGCTTGCACAAGTTATGCATGATGCTCAGAGTAGATAGATGGAACATAAGGAGTTAGAAGTGTATAAACATCTGCAATTGTTTTGTAAGTTGAAGTTCCCATTGTTCAAGGGAGTTGTAGATCCACAAGCAGTAGAGGACTAGCTGTTGAGGATAGAGAAGATATTTAACGAAATGCAGTGCCCATAGAATAAAAAAAGTGCCACTTACAATTTTCCTATTTGAAGGAAAAGTAGATAGATGATGGTTAGGATAACAACGGGAGAAATTTTAAGGAAAGATGAATGTAGCCTGACAACAGATATAAGAGGCTTTCATGAGATTAGAGATGGGGACCTCAATTGGTCAATACCACTGACAAAAATTATACTGGTTTCTGATAGGATTGAAGGATGACGTGAGACATTCACTTGTACCCCTAAGGATTCAGAAGTTTTTGGAACTGGTTGAGAAAGTAAGACTGGAGAAAAATGACTTGGTTATTCCACTGCTCATATAAGATATGAGTAAGATGAGATCAACAGATGAATAGCTAGGAGAGAGAGAGAGAGAGTAGTGAAAAGAGGGGTAAATTTTCAAACAATATAAGAGGATCTATATTTGAGTATAGTGTGGGTAATATATAAGAGTTTCCAAGATGTGGGTGGTGATATACATAACATTGTTATTAAATTATAAGACAATGCTTCAGATGTGGTCAATATGGACACATGATGAAAGATTACCCATAGAGAGGATTGGGGGAGAGACTTCGATCCAGGAGAGATAAATCTAGACAGGCATATGGCCAGAGGCTTGCAGGATCTCGAATGTTCAATCAAGGTTTGTGAGCAAGACATCTGGAAGAAAAGGGGTTGAAAGTCAATAGTCAGCTACACCAGCACAGTCACCCATATGACCTAGAGTTTATAATCTGCCCAAGTCAAGTGATAGAGATGCACCTGGAGGATCCACAAGTAAAATTTTAACTTATATAATTATAATTACATATGAAATAATTGATTGAAAATTATTGTATAGCATATTGAGTGATTGAATGATATATGTGTGTGTGATTGCTTGAGTAAATTCATGATTGATTAAATGTAGTGATATGTACTAATTTTAAATGAATTTAAATAGATTGCTTGGTTTTGAATTGTATTAATGAATTTATATTGTTTTATTAATTTGTTTAATTATTTTAAGCATGGATATGTCAAGAGCTATATTTTTTTAAGGTGGTGAGATTATAATAACCCAAAATTTATCTAGTTAAATAATTTTTCTTAAGAGTCATTATAAGTCAAATTTAAAAATTGTCTTTGTTATCATGATAATATTATTGAATTTTAATTATATTAATTTTTCAAGATTTTTTTGCATTGGTGTAAATCCTTAAAATATTTTCACATATCAAAATAAGTAGGGACTTTGGAACTGTAAGGTGTCCATTTTGCAAATGTATAAATTTTATCAAAATTTTTTAAATAAAATGATCTACTTAATGAATATTTTTTTATAATTTTTAAAGCTCCAAAAGAATTTATATAAATTTTATTTAGGACAAAAATAATAATATAATATTATTTAATTATATAAATATAAAATTCATTAACTGAAAAGCATTAAATCTCATTTCCCTAATTCATTAGGCTAAAACAGAGTAGTTAGGGAAAAAAAGAGAGAATGTGAGAAGATAGAAAAGAGAAGCTTGGCTTAGAGGCTGTATAATGATTTTTGTTTGTCAGTCTTGTTGGGATATTTCTTGTCTCGCTATAAGGAACTATGACCCTATTTTAGATTTTAATATTTTGATATTTTTAATATTTTTTAATTAAATTAATATTTTTATTCTACCAAAAAATAAAGATATATTTATATTGATAAAATTTTTACCCCATAACTTTTGATTTGCGATAGATCTCATTAATTTGAGTATTTTGATAGAATTAAATTTTATTTTCATTGGTTAAACTGAAAGATATGATTTTTGAAATAAATATATATCAGATAAATTTGATAGATTTCCCTACATTTTATGTATTACTACATTTCATATGTGACATTGATAAAATTATAGCATTTGAATGTAAAGGAGGCTAGATGGAAGAATATTTGTTAACAAACATAAAGACTAATACCAATTAATTGACTGCTTGGCCTAATTAAGACTGATATCCAACTAGAAAATAATTATAGTTGATCAATACCAATCAGTTACAAGTTGTGCCTAATTAATATTGATACCTAATTGGTTAATGATTGAGGTTGACTAATACTAGTTAATTAATAATTGGGCCTAGATTAAGATTGATATTGAACTGAGTAATAATTGAAGTGGAATGTCAAAATTATCACATTAAAGATGTTGTGTTCATGATTTCATTTGCATGATAGTGCATTGAACTCATAGATAGATAAAAATAAAATTGCGCTAGCATTCATATTGATATAATATAGTATAACATACTAACATGACTCATCGAGTGATAATACTCATATAATTTAATAGATCTCATTAATTGGAGTATTTTGATAGAATTAAATTTATTTTGATTGGTTAAATTATTTTTTTATAATTTAATAGATCTCTTTTAACTTCAATGATCATATTAATTTCAATATTGAATTTTGAGATTTATTATTGCTCATATTAAGTGATGATTAATTTTGACTAAAATAGAATATATATATATATATATATATATATATATATATATATATATATATATATCATTGAAAGCAGTAATAGAGTTTTGGTTATCTAATGGAATTTTTAACTCATTATGTGGATATTATTGATTTTATGTCAGGAAAAGGTCAGGATCATGAGTAGTGATACTGATAAAGATCGCCAGATTTCTTATATTTTATTTTGTATTTTTTTATTTTTTTATAGTCAAGAGTTTGTGATACGTGAACTGATCTTTTGGCTATTGTATATTGATTTTGTGAGAATAAATATAGTAAAATATTTTGAGGTGCTTTACTGGATATATAAAATTGTTATTTTGATGATTTATAGAAGCCCTGATTGATTAATTAAAAATATAAAATAGATAATTCTTCCAAATTTGATTCTTGTGTGTTACAAGGGTGAAATGCTTCATGATGGTGTTATGAACAAAGTCAAGTAATCCACTCTAAGATGACCGAGTACTATATAATGGCTCTCTAAACTGATGAAATTAGCTTTTCTTTGATGAATAGTTGATCAACTTCTTAGCTCCTTATCATCAATTAGCTTTGTTGAAGGTGAGCAACTTAGAGAGGGCCTATGGTTCGATCCAAAAGTACTTGGAAGAAGAGCGATCAATGAAGCTCACCATGTAAGAGAAGGTGGATGAACTTCAAAGAATCCTTACCAAAATGAGGGAGACTCTTCATGATGAGTTGTTGAAGGAAAGCTCACTGGAGAAATTGAAACAAAAGGTTGAGGAGCTCAATGAGGTATGAACATCAAGGTGATTGAGGATTTTTTTTAGAGTGAAGAGAATGATGGTGTGAATGTGACTACTGAATGAGTTGCACTTATCTATCACATACATTTTTCTCTTTTATTTTTTTTTTTATTTTTTTTTTTTTTTGCGTCCCCTAAGGAAACTGTGCATTTAAAATTTTCTCATTGAATGATATGCGATGCTATCATATGATACAATGGGTGAGTGTCTCACTCTTCCTCAATCCCAAAAAGTTATGGATGAGATGAGATGTTATTAGGAGATACAACTGGTGAGTCCCTCCACCATCCTTTAATATTTTACATAGAAAGGAATTTGATATCACCTAAAGTCCTAATAACATGATTTTATATCTTTAAACTCATATTAATTAACATTGACATTGAACTTAGATCCCTAAATATCATTAATTACTTTCATTTCCATCATTATTAATCCATTTCATCCTCTAATGTTGATGGCAATGGTGAGATGAAATGCTATAAGGGGTAACAACATGTCCTAAACCCTAAATTATAAGGTTTGTTGCATTGCAACTTTCATATACAGCTGGAGGTAGGGGTGTCAATTTCGGGTCACGGGTCGGGTTCGGGTCGGACCCGGAACTGACCCGGGTTCAAACGGGTCTACCCTAACCCGACCCGGTTAGGCAAACGGGTCGAAAATCCTAACCCGAACCCGACCCGGCGGATTGTCGGGTTGACCCGACCCGGAACCGTGACCCGAAGTCACCGCACCGCGGAGCGGCAGCAGCGCATTCGCGCGAGCGCGGGCGGAGCGCGGGAGAATTCTTTTTGAAGTAGAAGGCTTTCATCATAGCCATTAGGAATTATCAAGAAGATTATCAGATTCATGCACACTAAACTCATATGTAATCTTATAGCAACTTAGAAGAAAAATAATAGCTCATTTTGAAACGGAGATCAAGTCCGCACGATGATCATGAAACTTTTTTTTATATATATAAAATTGGTACACATTTCTCATATATAATTACGCTGATATTCTCACAATCGTTATATCAAAAACTAATATTTTTTTTTTTAAAAATTTCATAAATTTTTTATATATTTTTCAATTACAATATATTTTTGGTTAATTTTTATAAATTACAAAAAAATTTATTAGCTTAAAATTCTAAATTTTCTCAAAAAAAAAAAAGTTTTAAATAAAAAAATAAAAAATATTATAAATATTTCTCTTTATATAATTATTAAATAAATATATTATTTTTTAAAATAAAGAAGATTGACTCGACCGATGGAGCCAATTGACCAACTATTAATATTTATAAATATTTATGAATTATGATTTCAGGTGCCAATAATTTTCCCAATAATTTAAATGTGCCTAAAAAGAAAGCATATAACATTGTCGAGAGGAATTCTGATTTCCATATAGAGGCCATCGAAATTTTTTATTCGTCTCACTATCACCCCTTTTTTTCTTCCACTCCTCTTCTCCCTTCCCTCGACACCCAATCCCCACCCATGGCCGCACCCAACGCCACCACCACCCTCCACGTCATCGCCGTCCCCTACCCCGGCCGCGGCCACGTCAACCCCATGCTCATACTCTCGCGTCTCCTCGCCGCCCGCCTCCCCCCTCCTGCCGTCGTCACCGTCGTCCTTACGGAGGAATGGCTCTCCCTCGTCGGCGGCCCCGCCGCCGCGCCCCCGGGCGTTCGCTTTCACACGCTTCCGAACGTCATCCCCTCCGAGAACGGCCGCGCCGCTGACATAGTCAAATTTATGGAGGCCGTTTACACGAAGCTGGAAGAGCCCTTCGAGAAGCTGCTAGATGAGTTGGACACGCCGGCGACGGCGATCGTTGCGGACACGTACTTGCCGTGGGTGGTGGATGTTGGGAAGAGGAGGGGCGTTCCGGTCTGCTCCTTGTATACTATGTCGGCGAGCTTCTTCTCCGCGCTTCTAAACTATGACCGGCTGCCGGGAGAGACAGGTCCGTACTCTCTCTTCTTGCCATGGAAAATTTTTTGTTTGTCTTTTTTTCATTAGAAGATATTATTGTTTAAAAATATTTTATAAGTTAGTATAATAAATAAATTATTAATATTACATGAGAGATTTACATACATACCACCCTATATTATTCTATTTATATATTTAACACATAAAATTTTAATATTACATATAAACCACACATAGTTTCATATCAAATATGAGTGATAGAAATGAAATATATGAGTGATATGAAAGAAATATGAGTGGTATATTTGATATTAAAATAGTATAGGATGATATGTATGTAATATTAAAGTTTTGGGTATTAAATATGTAAATAGAATGATATAAAGTGGTATGTATGTAAATTTCCCTAAAATTTAATATAGATCTAATAGCTTTTTAAGTGCAGAAATTTAGAAAAGGCTTTAGCCTTTTTATTTTATTTTAACCAAATTTGAGTTAGGGGGGCCAAATTAAGTGCGGGTCAGAAGATTTTTGAGGTAGATGACTCTTCTAGATCAACCCAGAGTTAGTCACGCCGCTAAGCGCCTTTTCGAAATGATAGACATGAATTCTCCGTTTAAAAAAAAAAAGACTTTAGACAACTTTTTAATGTAGAAATTTTTTAAAGAAAAAAAATTTATTCTAAAATATTATTTTAAAAAATATTTCAAAAAATAATAAAAAAACTAATTATAATAATATAATTTATAACAAAGTTAATGTGTTATTTATATAAGTAGTCATTGCAATTAGCAATTAGCAAATACTTTTGTCTTTTTTACTCCTCTCTTCTCTCAATCCTACATTTTACTGTACAATAATTGCCTTGTACACGATACCTTGAGATTACCCCTCTATTTTGGCAAATTATTAGGTCTGATCACCAGACCTATTTATAGGTCCGGACATCCACTAAAAATTCGCCACGTGGAATGTACACGTGTCCCCGAAAATTTAAATCAAGTGTGTCAAAAGCGTAGGTAAAGTGCAAGTAAAGCACAGTCAAAATACATCTAAAGCGCAATCATATTGCAGTCCACGTGGCATGTCCGGACTTATTTTTAGATGAGGTGACCGGATCTAATAATTTGCCCTCTACTTCCGACTACCATCCGGCCTTGCCGATTCGAGCCTCCTGGCACGACCAACGGAGCCGTCTCCCATCCAGATCCTCCGACGACAGATCCAAGCTCTGCCTAATCTCCCCGTCGCTAGATCTAAGATTTAGCTATAGATCCCCGTCGCCCGATCAGCCCAGATCGGCTCCTTCCAAGCGATTAGCTAGATTGCATGGATAACCGGAGCTTCATCCCCGTTTTCTGGTTTCAATGCAACCCCAGTCAGTTGATCGGAAACTGCATCCTAGTCTTCAAGCTTCACATCCTTCGCAGCTTCTGATCTGTCCGACTTCTCACCAGCGTTTAACTCTACTAGAACTCATCGTTAATTCCGACGACTTTCGACTTCAGATCTAGATATCACTCAGCCCCCTGCCGATGTCTTGATAGAGCTCCAATCCTCGGTATCATCTACAAGCGAAACAAATGCCGATCTCCATTCCCCATCTACAATAATCTGATATCTACGATCCCTTCTCTCCATCCATCTCTTCGTAGAGCTCTTGAGCCCGCAGTTATCCATATCTCTCTGCAACGAAATCATCTATCGTCGCCGATCATCCAGAATCGGCCGCGGCATCTTCTCCTGACCTAGGCCGATCGTTATAAGTCGCAATCACCTCTTTCCATCATCAACATTGGTGATTTCTTGGTCAATCAGGCCATCTCAAGCCTCCAGATGCCCACCATGCCGGTTTCAATTAAATGTCCAAGTACAGCAAATACTGCAATTAAGGCTACAACATTAGGATCGGGTCACTCTTATCTAGCTTACAAAGGCGTTAGGGCTTTTGGTCATAGGCATAGCACCGGCTATTTTTTAGACAGGAAATGAGAATAGAGAAGATATGATATGCTTCAACGAGATGATTTTAACAAGCAATTCTTTAAATCTCCAATTTATAATCATTGTTTCTGTCTCTTTTCCTTGGATAACTTGGGTATAGTTGCCCATCTTGTAGTTGCCCATCTTGAGCTCTTCTTGATTCCAACCCTTCCTTAAAGCTTTATTTAGTATGAGCATTTCATATTTGGAAACTGTTTGTTGATTCAAAGTATGGATTGAACCTCCCGAATGTACTTTGGGTATTCGATTTGGACCCATTTGGGCTCGGATCGAGTTGAATTTGGTGTCGTTGGGTTCGTATTTCTGAGACGCTCAATTCTACTATAAATTTGCTGAAATCAGAGTTCAGATGGTCCCATGTTTAATTTTTGAAGTTTCCAACTTGATTCTGCCTCGAGATTCATGCCCGATCAAGATAATTTTTCGATGATATATCAAGCTTCAACTAGCTTCATCTCGCCATCAGTGATTGACTGTCAAATCATGATTTTTGATTAAATCCCCAGCAATATGATTAGAAGAAACTTTTTTTTTTGGATAAATCCCCTACTACGTTCTTGACAACTTCTTTCCTAATAACAGTCTTAATGCTAGTCTGCTTGAGCCTGGAGAGATTACTAGTATCCAGCCGAAGCACATTGATCAATAACTTCTTTAGCTGTTTTCATTGGTTTTGTCTTTGCTTTTTTCAAAGATAGTTTTGGTAACTATAGATCATCTATATACACTTGAAGCTTGTGGGCCTTTTTCTTGTGTCTTTGCAAGGGTATAACGGTTCTTTTCATACTAGAAATGTTTTCGAGCTTCTTCATCTTAGTAGAGAACAATGATAACTGAGGGGCAGCTTTCAAAAAATAGTAAGAAAGCTTTCAAAAAATAGTAAGAAAGTTGTCCCAAACGAATCCTAAATCAATGTGATAAATCTCATTCAATGTGGCAACTAATCTAGGCCGAGATAAATTCAGAAAGATTTATTGTCAAATTGAGAAACTAAGTTGCACTATTAGATCTCCTTTGGGTTAGATCAATCAAGTTATTATATAAGCCTAAAATGGATTTAGTTACTTGCAAGCTTTCATTGTTAAAGTTTTCAAGAGCCTTAGGGCTTCGGGTTAGGTCAATTAAGCTTTTATGTATAAACTTTTTTGTAATTCTTAATTGTAAACATTTTTGTAACATTGACAATAGACTTAAATCAATAAATAAGGTGTTAGATGATGAGCTTGATGCATGCTCATATTACATTAGCTATGTTCTTTCTAATACTAAAATCTAAGTAGATTCTTACAACTTTTCTCTCTAGACATCTCTTTCTCTCTCTTCTTTCATCTAAGGCTCAAATTGTGATCAATAGTAAGGTCCTGGTATCACCCTTGGATAAATTAGAATACAGTCGTCTTTAGATTGAGGCTTGATTTGGGGCGGCATTCTTCCTGCTTCTTAAAGCATCTTTCTATTGCACAAATTTTTATCTTTACAGTAGAAAACTGCTTTAAGAAACAGTAAAAAAACCGTTCCAAATGAAGCCTGAATCTCTTCAATATATTTATTCTTCAACACTCAAACTTTAACAAAAAAAAACTATTTAATTTGATTTTTTTAATTAGGAAAACTTTCTTTTTAAAAATATTTAATTTTGATAAGTTGTAAGTATTATAGATAGTAAATTTTCAAATTTGTGTTTTTTTTCAAGTTGTTTTAATCAAATATTTAGTTGATTCTGACAATTTCAGATCATAACATAATGATTTAAAATCAAAATCACCGCATTTGATTTTATATATAAAACTAATTTTATAAATCCTTTTGCTTTGTATCTGTATATTTTATTAAATTTTTATTCTTTATTTATTATGTTCTATTTTTAAATCATAATTATAAAAGCATTATTCTAGTTCATATTTTTTACTTTCATTCAATTTTCAATAATTTGATTGTGGCAGATTAGGTTAAAACCAGACTGAAGCTATTTAAATATTAATAAATTTATTGTTTTGATATATTTGATTTAATAAATTGAAGCAATCAAATGGTAAACAAGCTTTGAGGACCTACACAATTTTGTTAATATTATTAATTAAGGCTTCGTTTGGGATGGCTTTTTGACTGCTTTTTAAAGCAGTTTTCTTGGCAGATTAGGTTAAAACCAGACTGAAGCTATTTAAATATTAATAAATTTATTGTTTTGATATATTTGATTTAATAAATTGAAGCAATCAAATGGTAAACAACCTTTGAGGACCTACACAATTTTGTTAATATTATTAATTAAGGCTTTGTTTGGGACTGCTTTCTTACTGCTTTTTAAAGCAGTTTTCTAGTAGAAATTTTTTTTATTTTTGTACTAAAAAGATGCTTTAAGAAGCAGTAAGAAAGCTGTCCTAAATGAAGCCTAAATCTAGTGAAAATGTTCTTAAAGTTAAGACATTAAAACATATATTTTATGACTTTCATATCAAATTGGTTAAAGTTAAGACATTATTTTATTTTAAGATGTTCTTAAAAGTTAATTTCGTAGGGTGGGTATAAATTTATGTCCAAATCTTTTGAATTGTCTTGACTTGTTTATTATCACCTTATCTAGGCTTGGTTTGGGCTTGATTCAAGCTCTTTTGTTTGTGTTTGTTCATTTTAAATGGTTAATATTTATTTGGATTGCTTTTATTTCATGCTCGGTTCATTTTGTGCTTAACAAGAACAAATGAGCCTTATCGAGCCTACTAACAAAATAATTTTTTAGAGCTTATTCACGAGCATATCTAGCTAGTGTTTTTGACCTACCAAACGAGTAAATTCACAAACATATCTGATAAGTGTTTTCTAGTTAAAAAACGATGCCGTTTACAAACAAATGAGCTCAGAAAATGATTCTTCTTATAACAAGCATATTCATAAATACTTCAAACAAACAATTCAACAAACATCGACACATACCTCTTATTCATGAACAAATTCATTCTATTGAAAGAATATCATATTAAAAATGGAATTGATTTTTTTATAAAATAAGAATTATTTATTATAACAAAACTAAAAATTATGTGAAAATATATTAAATAAAGATTTAATTGAGCTTCTTAATAAGCTTATATCGAGCTTGTTCACAAGCTTTAATTGATAATGTTCATAAACATAAACAAGCTGAACATATAGTTGCTCAAGTTGTTTATTTAATGGTTGACAATTTTAAAGTTTGTTCAAATTTATTTGATTACATAAACAAACAATCATGAATGAGTTGTGATTGAGCTGAGCCAAGAATAAGTCGAATGCTTGATTCATTTGCAGCCCTAATGCTTGATATAACTAGTTATACTTTTGAGTGTCTAGAAATTTTAATTAGGAGATTTAAATACTTTCCACGAAATTTTATCTTATTTATAAAACTAATATCCAAGAATTTAAACTGAATTTGTAAATTAATATATTTAAATGAATTCATTAATTATTTTTTCAACAAATTTTAGAGAATAAAAATTGATAGTTTTGTTGTGTTCTTCAAAATTTGAATGTTGTTATTGTAATTAATAAATAAAGCATTTTGATATCATTTTTATAAATATACCAGATTTAAATGTTCCATGGAAGAAGTCCTGATTAAACTCTCTTTTTTTAAGAACTCTTGCTTGCAGCCTGACACAGCTACATATTTTTCAGAACTTGCAAAAGCAGAAGGCGAACTCCTATCAAAATACATTCCTGGCCATGGCTCTATTCGCCTCTCCGATCTCAGTTCATTTCAATGCCTTCACAAGCCACTTGAACTCGCCTTACAAGCCGTCTCAAAATCAACAGAAGCACAATGCCTCCTCTTCACCAGTGCCTATGAGCTCGAGCCTCACATCATCAGCTCTCTACGTTCTCAGCTCTCTTCCCAAGTCCTCCCCATAGGCCCAATCATCCCTTACTTAACCCTCCAACAAACCAATCTCAAAACCCCCTCTCATGATGATGATGATGATGATGACTGCCTTACCTTTCTCAACTCGCAACCTCAAAGCTCAGTGCTTTATGTCTCATTAGGTAGCTTCTTGCCGGTTTCAAGATCTCAGATGGATGAAATTGCTTTTGGTTTGCAAGAAAGCAATGTCAAGTTCTTGTGGGTTGCGAGAGATGAGTCGTCGAGGTTACGGGAGATGATCGTCGGTGGCGGTGGTGATAGCAACGGAATGGTGGTGACATGGTGTGATCAATTGAAGGTGCTTTGCCACCCTTCTATTGGCGGGTTTTTGACGCACTGTGGGTGGAATTCGACGATGGAAGGGATTTTTGCTGGCGTGCCCATGCTTATTTTTCCGATAGTAGTTGATCAACCACCGAATGGGCGGCTTGTTGTTGATGAGTGGGAGGCGGGGGTGTGGTTGAGAGAGGATGCGAAGAGTGTTGAGGTGGTTGGGAGGAAAAAGGTTGCTGAATTGGTGAAGAGGGTGATGGATTTGGAAGGGGATGAGAGTAGGGAGATGAGGAAGAGGGTTGTGATGCTTAGAGAGGCTTGTAGGAGTGCGGTTGAAGAGGGTGGGTCTTCCACTGTTAATCTCAATGACTTCGTTGAGTTTCTCATACATGCAAAAGAAGATACTGCCAAGATATTCTGAGTGAAAATTTATTCGGGAGAAGAGATTTTATTTTTCTTCCGAACTCTAAGAATTGAATTGTAGCAGCTTGATAAAATTTATCTTGTATCTGGACTAAGATTTAGCTCAGTATCCCAAGGAGCTATTTTTTCACTTGCAGATTGAATGTCCATTGCTAGTTAAGATAAGTATGTTGCTTTATAAGAAGTTGAGTTGTATATGAACAGTTTCTATTCTATATATATTGCTGATTGTCTGTTTTCTTAATTTGTCTTAGCGAAATTCATGAAGGTTTGCTATGGAAACAAAGTGCAGGAGTTCGATTATTGAAATGGATCTCACTCTTTTTATCTCACAGAAACTTGTTTTCATTTTTTGTCTATGATAGGTTAATTCCATAGAAAATATCAATACTTGTTGACATCGTTACAGTTCATATAGGCTTTTTACTTACAATTTCAGCTTGTTCTTATCGATTCTGAGAGTTTGTAGTTGTTTTAGAATCTTTTCTGTCAAGCACTTGCACTTCAATCTTCAAAAGCACGAACAGTAATATTAACTAAATGGAAAGGGAAACAAATTTTTGATGAATGCAGCTGGAAGTAATTGATATTTTAATGCTCAATTTGCAGTTCAAAGTGTTAATAAATAGTACCTGGCTGCGTTTTCTCTGCAAAACCTTGGCTAGCTTCTTCTCATTAGCAGAAGTTCCATTAATGCTGTATCGGTAGGTGACATCTAAATTTCCCTTTTTATATCAAGTAGAGCATGCAGAGCAGATTTTGTATGAGTTTATGTAGAGTTTCAAAGATTAACCATAGCCTTTTGGGTCTTGTAACTAACATCTTTTCCACGACTTCTGCATCCAATGTGATTTCTTTCACTTGTTTGAGAAGTTAAATAATAAATTTTCAAGATTTTTTCAATAACATTGTTGTTAATCTGCATCAGTAGAGAAAGGAGATCATTCATCTTAGATTCTAATGAGTATTCACACATTGAAAAAATGCTAAAAGATAGGAGAATATTATATTTTTAATGTGCAAAATCTACTGAGGGAAAAACATGAGGTCATGCAAGTCAGAAAAAATGCACTAAAATCTAGTGGTACAAGTATATATTTCTATAAAGTGGAGGTGTTTGTATAATCTAAAGATTTAGACTAGAAAGAATGCCCCTTGCCTGTGGTGGATAATTGATAGGAAATACTTGGGTTCGCAAGTAAACCTAACCGAAATCAATACCAAAACAAGAGAAAACTGCTGTTTTCAGCAGAAAAATAGTAAATCGCAGCAGTTGTAGTGGAGAAAGCTCAAGGAAAATGGAAAAAAACAATATATTTCACTAGTAGATTCAAGAACACAAACAAAGATACAATTTCCTTCAATCCGAGAGGAAGGAATGACTCTCCAAATCTCTAGCCGTAGCCTAGAGCCCAAGAACACAAACCCTAGATCTCCCAACAAAATTCAAATGCAAGATAATCCCCCCTTTTCCTCCTAACCTCCTAATTAACCATAAAGGAGTTTTACAAAATGTCTAAACAGCCCCTCGCATTCAAAATTTCTCTCCCAAAATTCTTCCCTGGCCCCCGTCGACTTTGCTCCCTCCGCTCGGTTCCGCCTGTTGGCTGCGGTTCCGTCGCGAGAAGACCCGGACCGGTCCGGGTTGGACCGCTCCAGCCGGCCCCTCCTGGGCCGGCGTAACAATAATATAACACGATGTTATTGTTGATGGTTGTTGAATGGATGGCTCATCCAAAGAAAGAGCCATCCATTTGAACTATGATGGTCCAATTCAAAAAAAATAGACCAACTGATACAAATTGAACCTTCATAATGATTTCCTTGAGAAATTCATATACAATTACATCCTTAGGGACTTTTGATTAGGCTATGGTCAACCATGGTTGACCATAAAAAGCTAAATAACCCTTATGGGTGCACATGAACCAACATAGGCTTAAGAAACTTAATCTTTCAAATTCATGAAATGCTTTGCCTTCAAAAGATTCCATTAAGGGAGTAGAAGTCCTTAGATCCTGAGTGGTCCCATGGGTTGGCCAATCGTTATGTCTATATAAGGTTTAACCTAAAGCCAACCTTTATAGGTTAAGTAGATCAAACCTTTTTTAACCTTTAAAATAGCCAAACCATGTGGACCTTGAGCTCATAATAGGATGCCTACGTATGGAACACTGATAGGAAGTGCTTGAGTTCGCAAGTAACCCTAATGGGAAATACTTGAGTTCGCAAGCAAACCTAACAACAATTGGTAAAACAATGATAAAAACAAAGAAAATATGGTGGAAGAACAATCAAATGATAGATAATCTTATAGAAAGCAAAGTGAAACAAGAACAAAGCAAAGATACAAGAGATCCTCAATTTGAGAGGAGGGTCGTCTCTTCCAAATCTCTAGACAAGAGAGTCTAGAGCCCAAGCCGCCAAGAAACCCTAATTGAGAATAAATCCAAACATAATTCCTCCCTAATCCTCTCATGCTCTTTAATACAAAAGCTTTCCAAATCTAATTTCCCTCCCAAGCCCTAGCCGTCCCCTCCTTTTCAATTTGAATTCAATTGGACAAGTGGGACCCTCACCATGGGCGGGAAAACCCAAGGGAGGCGGAATGTTTCCACCTCATGTAAACAAACTGAGCTGGCTAGGCCGGTTCAGGGTGAACCGGCCTCACAATACCGTCCTCCCAAAGAATCACCTTGTACTCAAGGTTAAAATTAGAAAACTGATGTTTCACCCTCTCGAATGATTCCCATGTGGCCTCGTAGTTAGAAAGGTTCTTCCATTTGATCAAAACTTTCTTAGTTTCATCTTCTTTCTGGCGAACCACTCTCAGCTCTAAGGGTTCCAGAACCACCTCATATGTGAATCCTTGAGGCACACTTTTTATTGTACAATTTTAAATCATAGTTCGGCATATGATGTTGTTGTCACAAAGTCGTGTTGCTATTTAATTATATTCCTATGGTATAGACTCTTCTGAGTCATATCCAAATATCTGTTACCCTTGACATAAACTGTATGATTGACCATTAATATGTCTTGGTGAATTACTTGTGGAGTTGTAATTTGAATCAAGTTTCTCTGATTTGATGGGCATAAACTGTGGTGTAAATTAATGAATGTAAAATGTAATTGATATGATCTTTGGACTGTTCTGCTGCCAAAATTATTGGTAATGGTTGAGAGTAACATATACCACTTGTGTTCTCATAAGAAATTGATCTCCATTTATAGGCTATATGCTAATGGCTATGTATTTGTGGGAAAATTGGTAATGTGTAAATCAATTCGTTATGGATGGTGATATAATTGATTTAAAACTAATAAGTGTCTTTTCTTTTAATTAACAGTTGTTATTAAATGCTAAGTACATTTTTCTTCATTAGCTTAATTAATCTTGTGATTGATTAATGGAATTAATAACAGTTAAGGGTTCTCTAATAATCATTTCTTATATATATATATATTTATATATATATTGTGTGTGTGTGCATGTGTGTGATAAGTGGGAGACCACATAAAAATTCGACCTAGTTCATTTTCACGAAAAAGAAACTGAGAGCTCTTACTTGGAGAGGAAAGCCGGTTTCAGCCGGAGGAGGAGAACCTTGCGGCTAGGGCATCATCTTATTTGCTTGATGCAAGGGGAAATGTAAAATATAATATAAGAGCATTAATAAAGAATTTTCTTTCTCTTGTTTTCTATAGTATGTTTTTCGTTTTTGTATGATTGAGTCACTTGGTTATTCATGCTATAGCTCCATTCCTCCATAAGATCATTGTTCTTGACATGCATTGGTTGTAAGCTTGAATCGCAGGTGTAACCGTTCTTTATATGTTATTTGGAGAAGGTCGTTGGCAAGAAGAAATATCTAAATCCTATTTGTGCTTGCTTCAGTTTGGGGTTTTTTCAATTTACTGTTTTTGTCAAAGATTTGAATATATCTTATAATTTTATTGGATTACTATCTTCACATATCAATAAAAGAATTGAGATCGAGGTTTCTCCAACCTGAACTATGTAAATATTTATGTTCTTGTTCATGGTCTTTCCAAGTGCTTATGTTGGATAAATCATTCTTATTATAATCTTGTTTTACTATTGTTCAATTATAGTAAATTGCAGTTGTTACTTTGATTTTTGCAAAGATTTGAAGAAAGAAAGTTTGTTTATCTTGTAACTACTTTTTTTTAATTAATTATCCAAGTGAAAATTTTCATCTCTATCTTTTTAAAATTTAATAAAGATTGTTAGTTAAAATTTACTTTTAAACTTTGATTGAGAGTTTTGCAAATTTCTTAAAAGCTCCAGATATATATATTGCTCCTTGTACACCCAACAATTTGGTAACAGAGCATATTTATTTTTCAAGATTCTTTACAAAATATATGTTACAAAGTTTGACATGGAGAAATTTGATGGGAAGAACAATTTCAATTTTTTGGAAATGAAATTAGAAACAATTTTAATACAACAAGCAGTTCAAAAAGCTTTTTTATCTAAATCAGAATTACCTACATCTATTTATGAGCAGGAAAAGGTCCAAAAGGTCCATATACAGAAAAAGGTTTTTAGTTTAAACATTTTGTGTTTGACAAATTAGGTTGTCTCATGTAAAAATTGTCTGAATTATTGAAAAAATTAGAAGAATTGAATAGAAATTTTAATTAAAATTTAATAAGATCTAATCGTTGTCACCAAATAGTTTTAAGCTTTTAATCTTCTCAAAGTGAACTACATTTTCTAAATCGTACCTGTACCTAAACTGCTCAAATTGTGTTAATCGTTCTTCTGTTCTTTTTTTATTATTGTTTTGTTTTTTATCTGTCTGTGAACTGGGAATAGGAGTCACTTGGAATTGGAGATCTTATGCTTACATTAAATAAGATTAGTTGGAATAGGACGTTAAATGATGCTGGGTTTATATGGTAGTTTCAATAATGTTTTAAATAAGGTTACTCGTTATTGATTTGAGCATTATTTATTTACAGGAAGAGCTAGTGGTGGCAAATTGAAACATGCAAATGGGTTTTATTTTTCTATCCATGTTGATTTTAATGCTTCATGGATGAGAAAAGTGGAGGGTTGCATTAGGTAGTCGGCAGTCAATGTAAAACTTGTCGAATAATCATGAATCCTTTAAAAATTTGTGTTAAATGATAGGGTGTCTCCTATAAGCGACGTGCTATATGACCTGAATATAGTTACAAGTGTGCAATGGCCATTGCACCGGCGTCTAGGTG